CCTTGCTATGACCCGCCAAACTTTTCTGGAAATCGTGAGCCCCAAGATCAACTCTTGTTGAGCTCCGAAGTGAGTGAAGAGCCGGCTTTGCAGCATCGTGATTCTTCCGTGTGCTCGGCCCGTGCCTTCGCCGCAGATCCTGCTCACACCATTTCCGAGCCAGACCGTTTGAGTTTTTCCTTCACTCCGCTTGAGGTGTCAGACTTCGGCCAACACCCGGCTGAAGAATTCGCAAGAAATTGTCTTCAGCAAGGCTCAGGAGACTCTTCATCCTGGGTGAAACTCGCGGAGCTCCTGCCCGACGAAGAATCCACCCGTGAAACAGCGAAGGATCCACTTGAGAAGTGTTTCATAACGGGCGCTTACAACCAAGGAGGGATCACCGGCGTGCGACGTCGCTGCCGAGAGTTCCCAGCCTGCACCCGTCTTCTGGTTGCCCTAGCTAGGCTTGCCTTTCCCGGTTTAAACTTTACATCAGTTGGCCTTTTCCGGAACATGCAGACTGCTCTGCACAAAGACGCCAACAACTTGCCGGGATCTCGTAACGGGATCTGTGCCCTTAGCTTCTTCGAAGGAGGTCAGTTGCGTCTTCACCGCCCCGATGGGCCAGTGGACTTATCACTCAGTGAGGGACCGCTTCAGTTTGACCCCTTTCTCGAGCACGAGACACTGCCGTGGTCTAATGGGTTTAGGATAGTTTTGGTTGCATTCTCGGTCAACCGCCTCGAGCGACTTACGCCGGAACACCGGGCGATGCTGACTGCGTTTGATATTCCGCTGCCGCTTTCTAAGGAACAGCTTGAGCCCGCATCGCAGTTTTCTCAGGACCAATCCAAGCCAATCTCGCAGTGCCCTCAGGACGATGGTGAGGCAGGCATGTTCCTTGAATTGTTCGCCGGCACTGCCCGCTTGAGTCAGGCATTCACACGCTTGGGTTTCCAAGCCTTGGCTTTTGACAAAGTATGCAAATCCAGCCATCCCGTTCAAGCACTCGATTTCGCTGATCGGTCGGAGTGTGAGGTCGTGCTGCAATTGATCCAGGACCATGCCTCTTCCTTGCAGTATGTGCACATGGCGCCGCCTCAGGAAACTTGTTTGGCGGCCCGGAACAAGGAATCTGCCAATAATTCGGCCCCTCAGGCCAGATCTCTTGCGCAGCCCTTAGGTCTGGACGGACTGCCTGATTCGTTGCAAAGGAGAGTTACTGAAGCCAACGACCTGTATAATTTCTGTCATGATGTGTTCCAGTTGTGCCGGAAGTTCAACATTCCTGTTAGTGTGGAGGCTCCGGCCTCCTCCCTCTTTTGGATCATGCCAATCTTTCAGGGCCTCTTGTCAGGTCCCGATAATCATGTCGTGGATTTTCACGAGTGCATGCATGGAGGTGATCGAGATCGAAAGCTTCGCTGGCTTTGCTCTACTGCATGGTTCAAGCCCTTGGGGCTTTCTTGTAACCGCAAGCATACGCATGCACCTTGGAACGTGACTTCCGATGCAGGAGCCAAAGGTGCCTATCCACCTCTCTTGTGCGCTAGGGTAGCTGAGCTAGTTGCTTCTCAGGTCTGCAGAACCCCAGTGGCCTCATCTTTGTTCGGGCCATCCAGCTCAGTCACACGGCTGGCTTATGAGAAACAGCCCCGGAAGCAACGGGCCTTAGTCAGTGAATTCGGCGCTTACGACGCGTGGGCGGTGCCGCTGGGCTTGGCTGCCTGCCCGCCCGCCTTGTTGAAAGCCTACCCCAAAGTGCTCGTGCTGTTCGTCGCAAGCTTTTGCATTGGGGTCAGATTCGGGCTTGCGTTCTTCCTAGCCTTGATTTTGCCGTGCTTGAATCCACTTTGGGATCCAACTGGAAATGGAGTTTGGACTCACATGCTCCTCCTCTCGAGGAAGAGGACCAGCCCATCTGCAAGGTTTGTGGATTCATGAGTGATTCGACTTTCGATGATTTGTGCGAGGTACTTTGGATAGGCATTCCCCGTACCCCGTCGGACTTCGTGCAGCAAGCAGTGTTGGCAGGCCACCCTAAAAGGATACTCGAGGCTCAGATCGATGAACGAACCAAGCTCCTTGTGGATAACCTCTTGAATGGACGGGCGGCTCACGAGGACCTGGGGAAATCGCGACTAGCCGAGTGGAGCAAGATCGCTAAGGAACTTGAGCCTGTGGAGGAACAAGCTCGGAAATCATTGGACCCTTTGGTGAGCAAGATCCTTGGTGGGAAGAGAACCTTCCTACTTGAGCGGTTGCTCGCCGACTCGTCCTTCCCGGACCAATCCTTAGTCCCCGACCTTAGGAAGGGTTTTCCGCTGACCGGATGGATGCCTAGGACCGGGTTGTTTGTTGCCGAGCATCGCCCCCCTAAGACCAGCCTGGACAAACAGCTTAGATGTGCATCAGCCAGGAATGCCGCTACGCTGGCCAGGGTATCCTCTCAGGCGGTCGATGCTGTCGCTGAGAAGGCTTGGTCCGAAACTCTTGAGGAACAGCAGAAAGGCTGGCTGTTCGAAGACCCGGATCCGGACCTTTCGTCGATCCTACTGGCCCGAAGGTTCGGCATCGTCCAAGGTGCCAAGACTAGGGTAATAGACGATGGGAAGGCAGCCGGAATCAATCAGACCGTTGGATTGCCCGAACGTTTTAGGCTGCACAACATTGATTTCATCTCGGCCTTCCTCGTCTGGGCCATGATGGACCCACGAGCTAAAGGGAAGCAGGTGTCGGGGAAAACTATTGATTTAAAATGGGCGTACAAGCAATACGCCGTCGATCCCTCAGACCGAGAAATCTTCAGAATCATCGTGCTTGACACTTGCTCGAGGAAACCCAAATTCTTCGGAGCGGCAGCGCTCCCCTTCGGAACGACGGGGTCAGTGGCTGGTTTTCTCAGAACATCTGCAGCCACGTGGCACATCGGCTCAGCCCTGCTGGGCCTTTCTTGGTGCAACTATTTCGACGATTTTCCTCTTTTCAGTTTGGACGAGCATTGCCCTTGCGCCGAGTCCTGTGCGGAAGCCCTGCTTGACATCCTTGGAATAACGTTCGCCAGGGAAGGAAAGAAAGCCACCGAATTCTCCAAGCAATGTCGGGCCCTTGGTCTGATCATAGATCTGAGTGAGTTCGGACAAGGAGTCGTGTACATCAAGCACACGCCCGAGCGTATTCAGGAATTGAGGCAGACCCTCACACACATTCTTGAATCCGGCTTGCTTGAGTCGTCGGAGGCTGAGGCCCTTCGAGGCAGACTCCACTGGTTCAGTTCTTTCCTTTTCGGCCGCCGGCCTTGCCAAGCCTTGAGAGTGTTAGGTCTTAGGGCTAAAGGTTTAGATAGGGGTAAGAAGCTGAGCAGTGACCTTCGTGATGCTCTCACGTACCTGCGTGATCGAGCTCTGGAGTCGCCACCTGTGCAGCTCACTCCTGATATCAAAGAAACCTTTTACGTTTTCACTGACGGAAGCCTCGAAGGAGATGTAGCCGGCGTGGGCGGCATCTTGTACGACCCACTCGGTAAACCTCTTTCGTTCTTTGCAGCCAGCCTTCCGATTGACGCTTTGAACAGACTCAAGGAAACTTCGAGCCACCCAATCTATGAGGTGGAGCTGCTGGCCATCTGGGCCGCCTTGAAGCTGTGGATGAGCCGACTCACCCGTTGCCTTGTAGTGATATACTTGGACAACGAAGCTGCAAAAGGAGCTTTGGTTTCCGGGAAGTCGTCCACTCTTCCTGGTCAGTCCATAGTGAGTTCGGTCCTTGACTTGGAGGACTCAGCAAGGATCCGGCCGTGGTATGGCCGAGTGCCAACCAGCTCTAATCCAGCAGATGAGCCCAGTCGAAGTGTCTTCGGTCATTTACTGAGGGATGGAGTGCAAAGGCTTCAAGCTCCGTGCGCTTGGCCGGTTTGATGCATCTGCTTACCGAGCTCGCTCTCAGATGGGGTGTGGCAGGGCGAGCAAGGTGTGAACAAACTCGAGACTTACTGCACCCCTCTGCCCTCTCGAGAGAAAACGAAGACGCTGTCCGAGTGTGTTGCATTGTTTAAGTTTTCGCATGCAATCAACAACAGTCGACTTTCAGAGACTCCCACGCGGTCAACACTAAGGAAATAAAGTTCCGGTCCCGGAGGGACGATGCTCTTATTTCCGTGTGTTGATGAATTTACTTTGAAAATTCAAGCGTGGTTTTCATGGCAACTTTTCATGCTTCAGCTTTTCAACACATGTCATTCGCTTTGCGTTTGGACAGTGGAATCCCTTGACCATCCGATGCCTCTGCTCGAGATGGGGAGGGATGTGGAGGTAGAAACTTTCTCTGGCCCATGAAATTTTGGCCCGCCCTCCCTCACCTTTGCTGAAGTGCCATTTCCTTTTTGCCTAACCCTGCCGTTTGTGGCAGGGCGAGCAAGGTGTGAACAAACTCGAGACTTACTGCACCCCTCTGCCCTCTCGAGAGAAAACGAAGACGCTGTCCGAGTGTGTTGCATTGTTTAAGTTTTCGCATGCAATCAACAACAGTCGACTTTCAGAGACTCCCACGCGGTCAACACTAAGGAAATAAGATTTTGAGAAATTCAAAGGATTGCCTTAAAGGAAATACGACCATTTTCACGGCACGTGATAAAACCTTATTTCCGGAGGCAACAGGTATTATGATACCGTCCTTTGAATTTTTCAAATTGTTTTCATGTGACCAAGATGTGTTGGATTGTTGCCCTTGTCGAAATTTATGCTCCCTGTTTTATGACTCGGCTTTAAAAATTGTTTTGGAAACTCTTTGAGAGTCGAGTTTTGCATGTGTTTCGAAATGGGGTTGCACCGCGCTCGCCATCTCAAGGAACAGCTTGCTAGACAGCGAGACAGTTTTGTTTGACCCACCCTCCCACCCTAGGGTAAGGTACTCCGGGGGGGGATTGGTGTCGCGCAATCCGAATGTGGCATGCTTTGGGCCAGTTGCTGTGTGAGCCGAGGGGCTCTATGTATCCGGCAATGGTTCAGAGCATGTCAAGTCACAGGGCATGATCGTACCTTCCCCCATCCGCTGGAATGAAAAATGAAGGTATTGTCCGTGTGTTGCATTCAGTACATGTCAGTCTGTGCATTTACATGTTGCAATGCAGTTGCTGATTTGTATTGGGAATGAGGAATGTATATATTTGGATTTTATATATACATTGATGATTGACATCTCGATTCCGAATAAAACATATTTGGATTTCGAGTTTCTTGCGTGGAGGATGATTTTGAGAAATTCAAAGGATTGCCTTAAAGGAAATAAGTAGATCCAAACCGTCCAAACCCCCCAAACGCTGCAAATAGAAAAATTTATTTACTTTGAGCAGCCGGACTGCAGTACAGCGTTCTCACCATGAGCCTGGCTTGCCTCTGAGTTGAATGACCTCAAAAATCATTGTCACTGGCCAGAAACGCAGAAGCTTGGCCCAAGCTTGAAAAGGTGAAGCTAAGTGGCTCTGGATGCTCGCTTGACGCTGCAGCACGGCTACCTTTTCCAGAGTCAGCCCTGAGCTTCGCGGAATTCACCAATCCTGTTGGGCTGTAGTAGCTGTGACGAAGCCTCCAAAAATGAAACCAAGTGGCCTTGGAGGCTGGCTTGAGGTTGCAGCTGAAGCATCACGTCCAGGGCCAGTCCTGACCTTGGAGGAACTAACCCGACCCTTGACCACTGTACTAGCTGCGACGAAGCTGCTGGCTAGCATTCGCCTCGGAAGGAGGCGCAGGTGCATGGGCTGATGACCTTGGTGAGCTTTCACATTCAAGCACCTGCCCCTAGCAAACAAATCACTTGCGCAAGCGCAAGCTAATCTGTTGAGCTGCTCATGGGCATTCGTGTAGGGAACAATGTCCAGATTCGGCGAAGGATATGACCAGCTCAGCAGCTGCATATTATATGAAGATGCTGGGAATCCATAGTAGGCGTTGCGCCTTGGTTACAGCAGAAATTCCGGAGCAAGGTTCCGGAGAGGTTCCGGAGCAAGGTTCCGGAGAGGTTTCAGAGCAAGGTTCCGGAGAGGTTCCGCAGCTGTTGGGGATACTTGCTCGCACCTTTTTGCAACCAGTTTTGCGCGGTCCCAGTGCGCACGGTATGCTAGTGCGGCCCCAGCCGGCTGGAGGGGACGGGGGGCTGCAAGCGGTCGTCAGCAAGGACATCGCTGAGGTCCGGTGTCTCCCCTGCCACATTACACTCCCCGGCCAAAAAGAGCTCCAGCAGGGAGGTTGCAAAGACACTTTGGGCGGCAACTGCCAGCAAGCCGGACCACCTGGCAACCCAGGCTGACTGCGCTGCAGGTCGCGTTGCAGCAGGGGCTGTGCTTGCGCGGTGCCGTGCCAGCAGCCGCAGCCAGGTGGCTGCCTCAGCCCCAAACCGGCCTCCGACTTCGACGCCGACTATACCACCAAGCGGCAGCGCCGGGCGCGTTCGAGGGCCCTGCCTGGGTGCACATCGGCGCCGGGCTGCGGCTCACCGGTGCGGGTGACAGGGCTGACGATGGTGGCATCGACCGCCTGCTGCGATCCGTGCCGCAGTGGGAGCCCATTGGCAACAACATCGATGCGCCGATCATCGGAGATCGGCACATCGATGTTCATGTCAGCCAAGCGGACATTGCGGGCAACGCGGGCGCCGGCTTCTTGGCAAACACGTGCCACGGCCCGCTCTAAGGGCAGCGCCCGCGAGGCGAGGACGCCAGTTGGCGCAGGCCACACGATGGTCGCCAAGTGGGTCAAGGTGCCCCCGGCAAGTGCACGTACGCGGTGCCACAAGGAGGGGCAAGCGGAGGCGGCGCAGGAGGACGACCCGGAACTGCGCAGAAGGGACGACAAGTTCAGGCGAAGTTGGGAACACCGTCAAGGTGCGCGCAGAATGTGGCCCAGCCTGCGACAGCAGCAGCGCCCGAGATGCGGCATCAAGGTGGGAAAGATGCATCTCAAGCGCGCGCTCATCGCTGGCGCCAAGCAAGGGGTCCCCAAACTCCCGCTCAGCCCCGGCACCGAGGCCGCGCTGTACGGTCTGCCAGTCATAACCTTGTTGTCCGCGAAGACACGCAGCTGTGTGGCGGGCTGCCGCAAGCGGCGCCGCGACCACTTGCTCATCGTCCTGCAGCCCCTGCAGCAGCCTTTCCGCGGCTTGGGGCGCTCGAAGCCCAGTAGGCAGCGGGGGCCGAAGCTGCTGCAAGGCCGCCGAAGTGCAACAGCAACTGGAGCGCACGCTGCGCCGCCTGAGGCAGGACGTGGTCTTGGGACAGCAGCGTGGCGATGCACTTTTGCACGGCTGCGTCGTGGCCTTTGGCAAACTCATCTGTTACCCCTGGTAGGAGCATGCGGAGCAGGTAGTTGGCCCGCGGGGAAGCGCTGAAGAGGAGTAGAAGCCACGCACCCTGCAAGTCGGGCAAGCCCGGGGCGGTTGAGGAACTCGTCGTGCAGCCCTCGCTTACGGCGCAGTTCCTGCTGGACAAAGGCGTCGCTCCCGAGCGGGGCGCCTAGGACGACAAGTCCTTGCTGTGCCGCTGGCAGGGACCATGAGCCCGTCCAGACTGGCTTGCCTCCAGGCGTTTGGAGGTGGGCAATGCCAGGCAGCTCTTCGCCAGCAGCGTTCCAAACGCGCGTTTTGCCAGTATTGAGCCGCAGGCGGGCATGCGCCCACAAGACTTCTTGGCCGGCGTCGTCAAGCCATGTGTAAAGGCTGCCACTGCCGTAGAACTGCCGGGCGTATGGCAACAGCGCTTCAAGCTCCGGCCGTGTTCGCAAACCCTTCAACATGGCCTGGCGAGAGACGTGATCGAAAGCGCCGATCGCATCGAGATTTTTGAGCGTTTGCTGTTGGCACGTTTACTTCCCATGGTTGAACCTCAACTTGACGAAAGTCAGGCTGGCTTTCGGTTCGGAGCAGAGGAACATGCGCATACGTTGGTTGAAAGGCTGCGTCGTGGTCGCCGGACTTTTTGCGCATTTGTTGATGTGCAGAAAGCGTTCGATATCGCGTGGACGGATGCAGTCTTGCTGAAAGTTGCTGAAATGTGTTACAGTTCGACCCTGCCCTTTGTACACACCGCAAACGCAGATCTGAAGCCCTTTTGGCCGTGAGAAAAGATTGTTAGATGGTAGCGGAGCCCGGTGCGGCCGTGAGAGCTGCCCGGGTCTTCCGAGATTAGTCCCAGGGCCTTTGGGCCCACCAGGTTTCACCCCATATTCCCTTTTCTGAGATTTCTTTTTCTGGCTGGTGGCTGCAGTTCGATCTGCCCACTGGGCCCGTGGAACTTTGCTGTAAGACCCCAATTTGGGGCAGCACCGGAATTCCCCTGGAGTGGGATTGGAGCAGAGGTTTTTCAAGTTTGGGAGGAGAGCGCGGGCCGGCAGGTGTTAACCAGCTGGGTCTTGGAAAGGGAGGCTTCAGTTTTCTTTTCTGTGTGCGCAAGGGCGAGCGGCGAGATGAGTGGAGAGGTGCCTGCTCAGCAGGCTCAGCAGCCTCAGGCTGCCCATGGGGCCCCGCAGGGCCAGCCGGCTTTGAGCCCGGAGATGCAACAGCAAGTGGACGCGGTCGTGCGGCAAAGGGTGCAGCAGGCTTTTGGCAATGCTTTTGGGCAGGTTCTCCAGGCGACGGAGAAGATGGCGAAGGCAGCAGAGAGCCAAGCTTCGATTGTGAGAAACGACGGGCTCGCAAAGATGATGAAGATGGACGTCTGGAGGCCAGCCAACAGAGAGGAGGAGCTTAGAACCTGGAAGGACTGGCAGTTTCAGCTGGTCACCTGGCTGACAGCGCACGATAGCAAGTATGCCGGCGACCTGGACGACATCGAGGACGACGTGGTCGAGGACCATGCTCTGATGGCGGCCGACAAGGTGCAGCGATCTCAGCGCCTTTTCGGCGTGCTGGTGTCGCTCTTGAAAGGGCGGCCCTTGCTGCTTGTGAAGGGCTTCGAGAAGGAGCGTGCCGGCTTCGAGGCCATGCGGGTGCTCAGGCGGGAGATGGAACCAAAGGAGCGAGCAAGATCCCTTGCTCTTCTTCGGCAGTTGGCTTCTTGGACCTTCAAGGAGGGCAATGTTCATGAGCAGCTTGTGCAGTTTGAGGACGCCGTTGCCAGCTATGAAAGCTCGAGCGGCAAAAGCTACCCGCCGGACCTCCAGATTGCCACTGTTGTGGCAAACCTTCGCGAGCCCCTGCGCTCGCAAGTGCAGCTTAGAATGACAAGCACGACGGAGTACAGCAACCTCCGCGAATGGATCCTCCAGTATGAAAGCGTGAACGCACCATGGGCAAGCACCTTGCCTATGAAAGGCGGCAGCCCTGGCTTTGGGGGTGGAGGCGGCGGTGCTCAGCCTATGGAGGTCGATGTCGTGAAGGGCAAGGACGGCAAGGGCAAGAAGGGAAAAGATGGCAAAGGCGACAAAGGAAAGAAGGGCCAGCAGCCGAGCTGGAAAGGACAGCAGCAGCCGTGGAAAGGACAGCAACAGCAGCCATGGAAGGGACAGCAGCAACAGCCATGGAAAGGACAGCAGCAGCAGCCATGGAAAGGACAGCAGCAGCAGCCGAGCTGGAAAGGACAGCAGCAGCAGCCATGGAAGAGCAACACGTGGGACAAGCAGGCTGCAAAGGGGAAAGGCAAGCAGCAGTGCCACAACTGCGGGCAATATGGGCACTGGAAGTGGGAATGTCCCACGAAAGGAAAGGGCAAAGTGAACCAAGTTGATGCTGCTGCCACGGCTGTGCCTAGCTCTTCCCAGTCGACGGCAAGTGGCGCAACGCAGCCCTCTACGGCAACCGCGCTTCAGAGGTCTATGAACTACAACGTGAACCGGATCGAGGTGAACGACGCGCCGCCCTTCTTCGAGGATACGACCCACCTCTTTGACATTAGCGCCATGGGGGATACGATTCCCGACCTCTTCGAGGGTGATGTGGGTGTTATGGTGGTTAGGGCTTGAGGTTTTCCAGATGGACGCCACAGACCACGACGGCAACTGGACTTTGGAAACCAATGAGCCCAATGCGAACTGCGACTTGTATGCCCAGGTGCCGGGGAATGTCTTGGCAGTCCAGGCCCAGCCCGTGCAGGTGGAGGTCGTGGTGGATTCCGGCGCCGATGTCTCGGTGGCCCCTCTCAGGTTTGCTGGCTGTGGTTCTGAAGGCCCACCGTCTGAGATCACAATGCATGATGCGCAGGGCCGGCTTATCCCTGAGAGAGGCACCCGGCTTCTTGATGTGAAGGTCGAGGACACCGCCGGCAACATGGTGACGATCAGGGAGCGGTTCTCCATAGCGCGCGTGAGCTCCTTGATTCTCAGCCTCGGTCGGCTTCTTCGTTGGGGCTGGCAGTTGGGCCACGAGAGCGGGATGCCTGTTATCTCCAGAGAGGGCACCCGCATCCCTATCCGACTGAGGCGGAACACCTTGACTGTGATGGGGTTTGTCTCCTTGATTTCTTTGGCCGGCCAAGTGCCTGCCGCCAGTGGCTGTGTGAATGCCTTGGGTGTCTCAGATGATATGGGGCGGCTGCCTGCCGCAGCAGAGGGGCTGGCCCACCAAGCCGGCTGGCACATCCTTGGGAGTGGGCTTCCTTTTCTGGTGGTCCACAAGGCCAAGCGGGTCAGCCTTGAAGAGAGCCTGTGGAATACTGGGGACTGGCCCTGGATGGCTCTCTTTGTACGACAGGAGCCGGCGGAGCGCCTTCCTAAGGCCGGCGACCTCTGGACCCAGATGTACGCTATGGAGACCACTGAGTTTGACAATTCCCCAAAGGAGCTGGAGGAGCTGAACGCCGACCTGAAGAGTGCCTATGACTATGCTATCCTCCTCCATGTCGAGCAGCTCCCCACCGACCTCCTGACGAACCCCAGGGACTTCTTCGAGGAGCCACCCAACGATTATGGAGGTGGGGTTGTTTTGCCAGCGGATGAAAGCGGAGGCGGGGTCGGTGATGATGGCATGCAAGGGGGAGTTGGGATTGGCCGCGACATGGAAGAGGAAGTTCCAGATGGAGAGGTTTTGGAAGGAGTGGCGCTCTCAGTGGAAACTCCCCTGAAGGAGCTGAGGGAGCTGTGCAGCCGGCAGGGGCTGCCCACAAGCGGGGGAAAGAACAAAATCCTCAAGCGCCTCAAGCAGCACCACGAGATCCTCGAGCACAAGCTTGCCAGCGAGCTTGCACACAAGCTCTTCCTTGAGGAGGCCAGGCCACCCGATGTTCCTCGAGCACCCCGGCTTCCAAGTGCACGGCAGCAGGAGCTCCACAACGTGACCCACCAACCTTTCGCTGCGTGGTGTCCTGCCTGCGTGGCTGGGCGTGCTAAGGCTTCACCACACAAGCCCCGCGAGGAAGCCAAGGACGGCCCCGACCTTGAGAAGGGGGCCATGCCCGTGATCCAGATCGACTATGGCTACACCTTTACCAGAAGGAGGAACCAGGAGACGGACGAAGGCGACTGTGAAGCGGAACCTGGCCCTGAGGATGTTGACCTACAGGACCAATATGGGCTCACCCTCTTCGGTGTTGAGTCAACCACGGGCTGGCAGCTTGCAATCCCTGTGCTGCAGAAAGGGGCTGGCGCCCTACGGCGTGTGACCGAGCAACTTGTGAGAGCAAGCATGCAGATCAGCCCGGCCGGCCCGGTGATGTTCCAAGGCGACCCGGAGGCAAGCATCAAGCAGATCATCAACTCCGTGGTGGCGTGCAGAAGCCGGCTGGGACTTCACACCCAGACCCGGCTTATCCCAAGAGGGTCCCACGAGAGCAACGGGATGGTGGAGCGCACCATCCAAACGGTGCGGGCAAATTCCCGCACTCTGCGGGCACACCTGGAGGAGAGAGCGAAGATCAAGGTGGAGGGCCACACGCATGTTTTCCCATGGCTTATGAGGCACGCGGCTTTTCTTTTGAATCGGTTCTCGGTGCCGGTGCGTGGGAACCCGCCCTTTGAACTCGTCTACGGCAAGTGCTTCCATGGCAGCCTGATCCCCTTTGGTGAGCAGTGCCTATATCATGCCCCAACCCGACACCGAGGTGACCTACAGTGGCTTAGGGGAATCTATGTCGGCCAGAGCGAAAGGAATGGGGCAAGCATTCTTTTGTCGGAGGCTGGAGCGGTGGAGGCTAGAAGCATCAGACGTCTTCCAGCCGAGGAGCAATGGGACGGGCCTGCTATCCTTGCTTGCCGTGGACTTCCGTGGGACTACATGGGGACAGCCAAGAGGAAGCGGCCCTTGTATACGTCAGCAGCTCGTCCTCCCCTTCTTCCGGACACCGCTTCTTTGGAAGAGTTGGCCGAGGTTATCGCAGCGGCAACGCCGCGACCCGGCAATGATGAAGCTGGGTCGGACTCCCCAGAAAGGCCCTCGACGCTGAAGGAGGACCAGGGGAGGCAGCCGCCGCGAGCGCAGAGCCAGCTGCAGAGATGGACACAGGAGAAGCCCGAGGAAGCAGTGCACGCGAAGCTGCCCCGAAAGCTGAGCCAGTGCCTAAGAGGCCCCGGCTTCTACTCGACCGGCCAGGCGCAACACCCTCACCCTTGGCGGCTTCTCCGGCTGGGTCTCCACAAGGACCTCTTTACCCTCCTTCTTTCGCAGGGGTACGGCATGTTCATGGCGACATCCCCTTGGAGGAGTGGAGCAACCACGAGGATTGGATCGATGAGGTCGGTGAGGCTTTGGAGGCGGATGTTGGAGATGATGTGTGGGATGTTGACCCACCACCGGAGTGGGACCCTGAAGCCGAGAAGGCCCCTGAGCTCAGTGAGGAGGACCTGGCAAAAGTCGACAGGGCATCTGACCTTGCAGAGGTGACCCGTTTGCAAAAGATGGGAGTTCTTCGCGAGCCCAAGCCAGGAGAGAAAATTGAGAGCTACACCCGGCTAACAACCAAGCTGGTGAGAGACTGGAGGCGCAGGCCGGGGTGGACAAGAAGGAGCCGTTTGGTTGCAAGGGAGTTCCGGGGAAACTCCCCATACACTGCCGAACTCTTTGCCCCTGCTTCTACGTTGGGGACCACACATGCCTTCTTGATCTGGGCTATCTCCCACAACCTCGAGGTTGTGAGCCTCGATATAAAAGATGCGTATCTCCAAGTGGACCAACCGAACCCGGCGGTGATCATGGTGGACAGTGGCATCCTCAACGACGGGCGCGAGGGCTTGATCCCTTTCATCTTAGAGAAGTTGCTCCCGGGGCAAAGGATCGGAGCCTCGGCATGGTACGATTTCGCAAAATCCATGCTGGAGGAATGCAACATGGAAAGCTTCGATAAAGAGCCCACTCTCTTCAGGCACATCAATCACGACAACCGCACAGGCCTCATACTACACGCCGACGATGGACTTCTTGCTTCTACGGCAACAGAGCGTGAAAGGATCCTTGGCAAAGTTGGGTCTCAGGTGACGGTGCAAACAAGTTTGCCATTGAAGGACCCAGGGAGCGAGCTGGAGTTCCTAAAGAGGCGCTATGTGATGACCGAGGAGGGCATTGTCGTGTACCCGAAAGAGAAGTATGCTGAGGCCCTCTTCGCCGGCATTGGAAAGAGCGCTAAGCTGAGGGATGCCCCCTCGGGCGCAACGTTCCTGGAACCCGACAGCTCAAAGGACCTCGACGGCAACCAGGCTCGGGAGTACCGCGAGGCTGTCGGAAGGCTCCTCTACTTGAGCCACTCTCGGGCTGACATCCAGTTCCCGGTCTGCGTGCTGAGCTCCAAGATGGCGGCACCCACGGCCATGGCCATGAAGTGGCTCCAGCGGGTCATCGGCTACCTCAAGAAGTTCCCTACTTTGGGAATTTTGCTTCGGCCCGCTCGGGATGGAGGCTGCTTTGGCTTCAATGGTCGAGGTGGCCTGCAGTACGGCGAGCTTGTGATCGAATCGATCACAGACGCGGACTGGGCAGGATGCAAAAGGACACGCCGCAGCCGCACATCCATACAGCTTTTTGTTGGTGGAAGCATGGTGGCGAGCTACGTCCGGAGCCAAAGAAGCATTGCGCTCTCCAGCGGCGAGAGCGAGTTCATCGCCATGGTTGGCGGCTCCGGGGAGGCTTTGTATGTGGCGGAGTGTGTGAGGTTCCTTGCTGAAGGAGCAAACGTGGAGGTGACCGTGAAGGCAAGGACCGACTCCGCGGCGTGCCGAGGAATAGCGCAACGAGTCGGCTGCGGGCGCATTCGGCATATCGACACAGGGCTCCTATGGATCCAGCAAGCTGTGAAAGCAAAGAAGCTCAGTGTGGGAGTTGTCCCGGGCTATTGCAATACAGCTGACCTGGGAACGAAGCCTCTTCAAGGACCCCGTATCCGAGAGCTCCTTCACCTCATGAGTGCTAAGGACGCCAACCTCGAGGAGTTCGGGAAGGAGGACTACGACCAGGCATGCGCCAGGCGGGGTTTGGCCACTGCCTTGAAAGCTTACAAGTCGGAGACAGGCGGTGCCAGAGTGAGCAGAGTGAAGAAGGTCATGCCCCTCTTGATCTTAATGTGCCAAGTGATGGAGGCTGAGGGCTTGAGCTTTGGAGCCCCTCTTTTCGATGAGGAGCTCTTGGCTAGCATTCTGGTTGCGCTGGTGGTTGGGCTTCTTGTTCTGGGTGTGCCTTGGGTGCTGGTGACTGGCTTTTTCAGACTTTCTGGATGGCTAGCAGGCTGGTGCAGGCAGGCCCACACGGCTACGGACCAAGAGACCCAAGCAAAGATCACCACGCGAGAGGTCGGAGTGCAAGCCGATCGGGGCATAAGTCGCTCTGAGGAAAGGTTTCAAGAAGAGTACGTGCAGCGAGCTACGGAGCTTCGACAAGCTCTTGCTGAGAGGTGCATGGAAGTGAGAAACTTCCAAGATGAGGTCATGAGACTGCGCGATGAGCGCAGACTGCTCGAAAGGGAGCTTGTACAGGCCCGTGGCAGAGCTGTGCCACCTGAAAGGATAGCTGTCACCACGGCGCGTGGTGAGCGGTACCACCTCCCGACGTGCGGAAACGTTAGGAACCATGCTGTTCGAATTTTCACTCCATGCCAGACTTGCTTAAGGACGTTGGGAGGGTAGGCACAAATTTCAAGAAATTCTCCTTGGACGGTTGACGCAGCTGTAGAAAGGAGGCTGCCTCAACCGAGGCGGGGTGTTACAGTTCGACCCTGCCCTTTGTACACACCGCAAACGCAGATCTGAAGCCCTTTTGGCCGTGAGAAAAGATTGTTAGAAAATGGGTATTGCAGCTTGCATGTGGGCTGTTATTTCAGACCTTTCTACCAACACAACAACCCACGTGGTTATAAATGGTTACGCATCCTCGCCTTGGACAGATATTGCGGGCGTGCGATAAGCGAGTGTTCTCGGCGCCCTGTTGTTTTATGTTCTTTTCAATGGTTTTGCCGCAGCTGCGCGTGCCGCTCGTCCAGGGGTTGCATTAGGCAATGATCGCCATGCCCCACGTGTGACAATCCTGATGTACGCGGATGATGTCGTAAATTTGGCAGATAGCTGTCCATTTGCAACGGGCGTTGGACGCTGTTGGAGCTGGGGGCACGCAATGGCGCTTCACATTTGGCATCGGCCCTGAAAAAACTGCTGTTATGGTTGTTGGTTCTAGGTTTCTTGACCTCCATTTTTCCTTGCAAGGAAACGGCCTCCCGCGTGTGTCGAACTACACGTACTTGGGAATGACGTTTCAAGCGTTCCGGATATGGAAACTGCATGTTCAGCGACTTCTGGATAAGGGCAACAAAAAATTCCACCAGTTTTTGGGTTGGGCTGAAAATCGTCAATTGCAAGCCGGATTCTGCAACGGATTGTTTTGGACGTATGTTCTGCCGTCCATCATGTATGGAGCCCACTTTCTTGATGCAATATGCTTTGCGCAGTTGGATAAGAAACTGCGGCAATGGGGGAAGCGTTTGTTGGGTTGGCCGGCTGGCGCACCTGGCGTAGCAGTCTTAAGCGAATTGGGTTGGGCGCCGGTTGCCATGGAGGCCAGACGGCTGCAATATGGATTATTATGGATTATTTGACCGGCTGAGTACTGCGGGCGCACACGACGGAGTGGTGCTTCCAAGCTCATTTGGTGTAGAGCTTGGTGTGGGAATGGGGCAGGTTTGGCCGCTGGAGCCGCCTTCATATGCATCCGGCCATCGCGCTTTGTGCTCAGCGCCAATATCGTGCTGAGCTGGCGTGCATGCTTTATCGTGCCTTCGATTGCAGAATATGCCATGTACCAGCCGCGTCTCCCCAGTGGTAACCACATACACTATTCCAGGCTGCCATTTTCCGCCCAACGTGAATGGACACTGGACCATCATCCACTCCAGGATGGCAGAAGCGCTCGCCATTGCCAAGTGTACAGCCTCGAATGTGTTTGTAGTGCCGCGCGCTGGACGTTTTTTGCGCAGCATCCGCTCATGCCCCCTGTTTGACTTGCATCGTCAGCAATGGTTGAGACGACTAGGCCTACAACGAATGCCTCAGTTTGGTGACGCTGAGTTGTTGAGGTGGATTTTTGATCCCAGCATTGTTGTCAATGGTCGACCTGCAGTGAATGCCCATGTAATGTATGTTGCTTCTGTATGCCAAGCGGCGCGTTCCTTGAGAGAAGGGTGATCGGATTTCAGTGTTGCATCACTGACGCACGTATTGCCCAAGATGCGTTGCCCTGGGCTGTGGTCTCCCGACTGGCTGTCCGTTCCTTCCAACCTTGTCTTCATAGCGTGCAGTTCCAAGGTAAGCAGTTGTTGGATGTTCAACTGCATCTTGAGTCCTTACCTTCAAGAGCGTAACCGCATTTCCCAAGGCTCTTGGAAGAGCACAGGTAGGTAGGCCCATAGAAGCTCTTCTTGTTCCAACGGCGTGGGTTTGCTAACGTTGTATGTCTATGCCGCGCTCGTTTTTGTGGGCTTTTGCTTACTTCATTGATAGGGCCTACCGATTGGACAAGGAGTTTTCATTTGATTGGCTTCAGATAAGCCAGTATGTCGCCGGTCAATGTGCCCGGCCATTTTGTATACTGACCGTGGACGGTTGTTCAAGGACCGAACCTCCCTCTTCTATTTTTTCCTCTGAATTTGCTGTTATAAGGTGAAATTTCCACCTCTCAAAACAATTCAACTAGCATTGGTTGGGATGCAAGTGTCATGCTATAACTGAGGTTCAATCTCAATGTTTGGCTCAAGTCCCGAGTTGTAAGCCTAAGAGATTATGATGGTTATACCATTGCAGCAGAGCTTGAGACGTACACAGTGACAAAAGACAGTGAAGTACGTTCTTCGCGCTGATTGTGGTGACTATCGCTGTCTATATGCCCGTCACCCTTTTGCAAATTAGCGCCCGTAGCGTTGTTAGCTGCAGTCTATGTTGTCCGTTGACGGCAGTTCCGGGTCTGCCAGCACGGACCAAACAGCAACCCTTGAATGTTTAATGGGCGATACTGCCTTAGAAGGCATTGGCTTTGCTGCTGCTTGCTCCCTCCAAAAACACGAAGAAGGACCCAAAAGGGGATTGGGACACCCACCCCCAAGGGAACGTGTTTCGCCAGCGTCAGCTCGCCCATTTCTTCCTGTGCACGACACAATCGCCGCCATCGCACTCGTCGCACAAGCCCGCGGGGACGATCTCAGCCAGTCAGCCCCATACCAGCGCCTGGTGGCGTGGGCGGCGTCTCGCGCCTCCGGCGCCGAGTCACTCAGCGTCATGCTGCGCGTCCTCGCGGTGCTTGCGGAGGGCCACTACTTCCCAGCTGCTGTGCAAGAGGGGCTGCTCACCCTGTCACTGGGCCAACAAGGCGCATCCTCGTTGGAAAGGGATATCCACGCGCTCCGGCAGCCTGGCGCGCTACCGAACCCTATGCCCCTGCACAGCGCCCCGCCTGAGCTGCCTGCCCATCCTATGCACGCAGAGGCGCCTGTGCCGCAGGCCACGCCCGCAACCTCAACGCCAAGTGCTGGCACCCCGCGACCGCGGGTTGCGTTGACAGGTGAGCAAGGGGCCCAAGCAGCTGACGACTGCATCGACGCAGCACCCCTTCCCACCGACGACAACGCTCCTGCCGGAGCTTCGCAGGGCGGCGCAGGCCACTCCGCCCTTGCTGGCATCCCGGCTCTTGCGTGGTCCAGCCTCGATGCTGTCGACCTCGCTGCCGAGTTCGGCACGCCCGTGCCTACCATGCAGAGTGTCCCGGCCTTCCTGCGAGCGGGCGTGCGACAAGCCTTCGTTTTCGCCTTGCGAGCTCTACGAGAAGCGTACACGCGTGGCGCGGCCCTCCAGCAGACCCGCGCTTGGAAGCTGTTCCTGCTCTCCCCGCGGTTGCTGCTCCACCGCGCTCGCGAACCGGGCACGGTCGGACGCGAAGCCCTTCTGCAGCGCACGCGGGACTTCCTCGCTGGACGATGGGACGCCTTGTTATGCCTTGTTGGGGGCGGCGCGAGCAGCAGCAGGCGCGCCACGCACCAACCGCACAGCCGCAGTCCCCGATGTTGCCGGCGAGGAGGCTGCGTGTGCCCGGCGCCGGGAGCTTGCCTGTGCCAACGTACGGAGGGGCGAAGTCTCCCGAGCGCGAGGCGTCCTCACTTCCGCAGCCATCGCGCCGAGCACGGACGACACTTTCGCCGCCTTGTCTGACCCGGAGCGGCGCCCGCCGGCGGCCCTGCAACCCGTGCCTGCGGACATCCTCAACTTTCAGCCCGCCTCGCCGCCCGTGCTTACCGACGCCGCCGTCGCTCAAGCTCTGCGGATCGCCAGGCGTGGCACCGCTGCTGGGCTGTCGGGCGCCACGTGTGAGCACTACAAACTGCTGCTCGACGATGCCGAAGCACTCGAGCTGTTTGCTCACGCGGCCAACCTCCTTGCCGCTGCACGTGTTCCTGCAGATGTTACTGCCGCCTTGGCCTTATCTCGGCTCACCGCGCTCCGCAAGCCCGGTGGGGGCGTGCGTGGCATCGCCACCGGAGACACTTTCCGGCGTCTCGTGTCGCGCAGCCTTGCACGGATGTTCGCTCAAACTTTTGACGAGGCGACCCGTCCGTACCAGTTCGCGCTGCAGACCCGTGCGGGCACCGATGCACTGTCGGGCATGCTCCGGGCCGCTGTCGACCTCGACTCTGCGGCAACCGTCGTGTCACTCGACGGCCGCAGTGCCTACGATACGATCTCGCGTGCCGCGTTCCTGCGCAAGCTGCAGGCCGTCGTTCCTGCACTCGTCCCCTTTGTGCGTATGTGGTACGGACAGCAGTCCACTTACTTTTGGTGGGACGATACAGGCCAGCGTCGTACCGTACGTCAGGGCGAAGGCTGCGAACAAGGGGACGCTCTGGCCCCCGCGCTCTATGCACTCGGCCAACACGACGCCCTCGCCGCCGCCGATGCGCAGCTGCGCCCCGGCGAGAGCCTGGCGGCCTTCCTCGACGATGTCTACCTCGTCACTACACCCGCGCGGGCACGCGAGTCACTTGATGTTGTTACCACTTCCATCGAGACGCGGGCGGGCGTTGCCGCTAATCTTGGCAAAACTCGGGTCTACAACCGCGCTGGCGGGCCAGCGCCCCCTGGCATCGCCGAGCTCGGAGCGGGCGTGTGGCGCGGGGATGCGCGTGAGACCGAGCGCGGGTTCGTCGCGTTAGGCACTCCCATAGGCCACCCGAGCTTCGTCGCCGCCCACACCGATGCGCGCCTGCTCGAAGAGGGGCGGCTGCTGCATGAGCTCCCTATGCTGCCCGACCTCCAGTGTGCATGGCTCCTTCTTGCCATGTGTGCCTCGCCTCGCGCCGACCACTTGTTGCGGACCCTCCCGCCCGACCTCTCTGCCAGCTATGCGCGTGGCCACGACGATGCTGTGTGGCGATGCTTGCTCGCGCTGCTGGGCGAAGAGGACGATGCGGACCCCGAGGTCGCCGCTGCACGCCGCCTTGCCATGCTGCCCTCGCGTTTGGGCGGCTTGGGTTTGCAGTGCGCTGTGCGCACCGCGCCTGCCGCATACTGGGCTGCCTGGGCTGACGCCCTGCCTGTCCTGCGCGCTCGCCGACCCGACGCCGCAGCCCGCTGCATTGCCGAGCTTGCCCAAGGCCCTGCTTCGGCTGCCGCGTGCCTGCGCGCTGCTGAGGAGGCCGGCCGCGTGCTCGACCGCACCAACTGGACCGGCCGCCCGTCTTGGAACGACCTGCTCAACAACGTGCGCCCCGCACAGTGCGATCTGCCCGAGCCTGGCGAGCGGTGCCAGGGCTGGCAGCATCACGGTTCCCGCGCTTGCTCTACCCACTTCCGCGAAACCGAGTTGCTACCCGCTCTGCCCGCCCCTGCCCAGGCCATGCTCCGTTCGCAGTCGGGGCCGCATGCCGCCGATTGGCTCAGCGCCACACCGTGCGAGGCTGGCACCGCTCTGCCGCCCGACCGCATGCTCATCGCCATGCGGCGACGGCTGCGGCTGCCTTTGCCAGTCGCCCCACACAGATGCGGCGAACATGGCCACGGCTGTGGTGGCCTTGTCGATGCATACGGCGACCACCATGCCGCTTGCCCCCGTATACAGGCCTTCTTGCCCGCAGAGCCAAGCCCCTGGAGCACGCCTGGGTGCGCGTTGCTCGCGAGGCTGTCGGTCCTGAGGGCCAGGTCGTCCCGCAGCAATGGCTCGCACGCACGTCGGCCCCGGACGTCGATCCCGCCGATCGCCGTCGCCTCGACTTTGTGGCATATGGGGCTACCCCGCTCGGAGAAGCCTTGTGCTGCGACGTCACTCTCGTGTCCCCACTGACACGCGACGGGCGCCCTCAACCTTCCGCCGCGACGCGTGACGGTGCCATGATCGCTGTCGCTGAGCGGCGCAAGCGCGCAGCGTACCCCGAGTTGCTGCGCCCGGGGCCCCAGCGCCTCTGCATCCTCGCGTGCGAGGCCGGCGGACGCTGGAGTTCTGAATCGCACCGCCTGGTCACGCAACTGGTGCGCCTTCGCGCCCAGCGCGCTCCTGCTGCCCTGCGCGGTGCTGCTACCCAGGGCTGGCTGCGCCGCTGGTGGTGCCTGCTCAGTGTTGCTTTGCAAAGCACACTTGCTGCAACACTGCTTGGCACGCCGTACATCGCTGGGGCCATGCCTGGCTCTCAGCTCCCCACGCTCGGGGACGTCCTGCACGACGCAGCCCCCCCCACCCCGAGCCGCCTGCCGTAGTTTGCAGCGTGCACGGGGACCGGACTCCTTTGCGCAGTCGTAAAAGGTGCGTGGGGAAAAAAAAAACTCGGGAGGTGTCCACATCTTCCACATCAGGCGTTGCTTTTCCGAAGCGCGGGCTTCAGTGATACGCGAACTGAGGTCGAGACTTGGGACTGAACCCCGTATTTCAAAACGGGAAAAAAAACGGGATAATTTAACATTGAGTAGGATAAAGGACTCACCCATAGTTGTGGATGAAACTGATGATTCCTGTCCACAAGAATTACACTCATGCCTGGCAGGTTTGAAATTGCTTCACCGGCAAGAGCCGGGGAACCAATGTAAATGTGCGCTGCTGAGGCGGTCCCATTGGGGACCTGACTGCCTTCCTCGCCGTGGTTGACACTACTGTTGCACGTTTCCGGCGCAGTTGAGCTGGTTTCGTAGCGTTGGCGGTGGCCGTGCAGTTGAATGGCAAAATCGCTGAGTTGCAAGAAATACTATTACGTTTGCAGAAACGTCCTTGGGCAGCTTTTCTTGTTTTTCCAAAAGCATATCGTCAAACCTTGTCCAGCCAGCGTTGCCGTCATTTTCTGGAATCCACGAGACCAAGTGGCCACATCTAGCATCCGTAATTCCTGAACAATGTTCCACAACGTCCGCAAGGTTGAAGTCCTTGCCTTGAAATGCTAGATGTTGGCCACAGGGGACACGACCGCGATGACGATGTTGCGCCCCGTGGCCATCGACATGTCCGGCTCGAGAAAATCCAAGGACAAGAGCATTTGCCAAACTGTCAATGGTGACTTGCTGGTGACTTGCTGCTGCCCTTTTCGTGCACCGCTGTTTGATTCGCGCTGCAGCGTCACGAGGGCTGGTTTGTCATGTTGCATGAGGAGCTGCAGCACGGTGGATTTGCCAGCAAAAGGGTTTTCAAGCATCACGACTGACCAAGTTTCATCGATATTTGGGCGGGTCGTTCGATGCCCCCGCTGCAAGCACATGCCAGATACATTCTTCTGCACGCAGAGTCCTGAGGGGGATGCGTATACATGGTTCCAGCCATCTTGCGAAAAATGGGACACCTCATGTCAATATCATGAATAAATGGCCTGCTAACTGCGCAAAGTTGAGCAGATGCCGTCTTCAAACAATAGAGCAGATTCGTGGGCGCTAATTGCCATGTCATAACATTTCAGGACACGGAACCATTGCTCCATGAAGGCGGAGTTTGCGCAGCCTGCATTTTGCGCTGCTATGGTTGTGCGCAGCAGACACCACACGCACACTCTTGTTTTTTTGCAGACACTTTTTTTACCGCCAATGGTCCCCAGGTCCCAGCCGGGCGCCGCAGCGTAGCTTCTTGATTGGAGTTCCTGCAGGCAGCGCTGGGCCTCCCCATCGCGGAGGTCCTCCACCTTGGAGCCGACCAGGCACTTAGCAGGCTGCCGCTGCGGTGCGCCGGAGCTGCGTTTGCCCTCACAATGTGCATGCGTGTGGTGCTGCTGCGGCGATTGAGGCTGCCTCTGCCTCATGCTCCATGGCATTGCCATTGTGGGGGGAACCTTGTTGTTCTGGGGGATCACCGGGCCGCGTGCCCTGTTCCGGGTGTTCTAGGCCCGCGCGGCGCGCCATTGGAACGCGCCGCCGCCCGGATTTGTCGGGAAGGCGGGGCGTGCGTCGCAACCAACGTTTTCTTTTGCGCGGCATGAACGTTGAAGTCCCGCTGGCGGCCCAGGTGGCTGTTGACACCACTTTTGTCAGCCCAGTTGGCCGGGACGGCGAGGCGCGGGCGGGCGCGGACCGCTTGCCGGGCAAAGCGGCAACGGACGCGGCACGCCGGAAACGCCGAGCCACCTACCGTAACCTACCCGGAGCTGTTGGCCGCCCCTAGGTGCCGCCTTGTGGTGCTGGCAGTTGAGGTTGGCGGGCGCTTTGGTGCGGAAATGGCGAATTTCCTGCGCCGCCTGTCCGTTTCCAGGGCGCGGCCGGCACCGCCATGGCTGCGGGCTGCAGCCCGACAAGCGGCGGGCCACCGCTGGACAGGCATGCTGGCAGTCGCCGCGCAGCGGGCGCTCACCCTGTCACTGCTCGAGCTGCCGTTGGACAGGGCGGACGAGTGTGACAGGGCGGAACCGCCGCTGGCAGACATGGTGGCGGACGCGTGCCTCATATATCATATACCCAGTGGCTGAGAGCCGCCTGCCGCTGCACGCCTGAGGCGGCGCCGCAGGTCGTAAGTAGCGGCTCCAGCTGACCCGGGGCTCACGGCTGCGAGGAAAAGTCCGTGCAAAAAAAAGGAAGGCACCCGTCCGCCATAGCAAAAAAAAACTCCACAGCAAAACAAAAAAAGCAACGCCTATCACCAATCCTTAATATTGGTTTTGGGAGGGGGGGTACGTGCTTAAGCCAATATTTTCAAAGCCATTTTTGGGATATCTATGGGGTACATGTTGAGGGGGTCAACAGGTCCGCCAAGCCAGTTGTTGTGGAAATCTCTAAGATACATGTTGAGGGTGTAAAGTAATGGCTTGGCAGATGTGGAGAGGTCCGCCAAGCCACTTTGTCACTCCAAGGGCCGCTTGCGCAGTTTTAGATTTGTTGAGGGCGCGCCTTGTTTGGTGTAAGTGGAACGTTTTTACGTCTTTACATGCTCCCCATGACAGAGATTCACATGAGAGCATGAAATGTTGAAGGCAACACATGAAATTGAATTTGCATATGCGTCTGCCTTGTGGTTGCTTGCACGCTACCCCGCGCTTTTGCAGGAAACTGACTCTATGCCAATGTGGGCCTCGTGCAGCACATAATTGCATAGACGTACTCGTATAATAAAAGTAATTCAAAAATCCTGCATCTGAATCACCAACCTCCACTGCGCACACGCGCCAGCGGATTCTTTGACGGTGTAAGGTTTCATAGGGTGGCACATGCAGGGTTCCCATTGCCAGGCGGCGCCCCCCCGCATTGCTGCTGCCTGTACTTTAACCTGGAGATTAACAGCCTAGCATGTTTTTTTTGGGGAGGTGTCCAAGCAAAGGTCATATGAAGACAGGGTAGCACCTCTGAAATGGCTCAAGCCATTTTAACGTCCCCCCCTAAAGCATGGGCGATCAAGGCCTCCAGAACAAAACAGTTAGCGTGCCTGGCCTCCACAGCAAAAAACGCGCCAGGTCTGCATAGCAAAAAGCTTCCGCAGCAGAAAAAACACCTTTACCTTGGTTGAAGCATCTGTTGGAATAACATGCCGCCATGTTGGATGCCCCCTCTTGGTTTTGACTTGATGTGTGTTGTGGTTGTTGCGTCAAAGCCTACGACGGAGCATGAATGAGGCCCATACTCAAGTTTGAAATTAATTCGGAAAGTAGCTTCTTTTCAGCATACGGGTGGGAAATGGCTGGGCTGGCGCAAGCTGTGGCAGCATTCCCCGGGGATTGGGCTGCAAGGTGCATGCTGCCACGAGTCCCGTGAACACCGGGAGTGCGCCCACGTATCACACGCCAACCATGTGCATTCAACATCCATGCAGCATCTTAGGTCCAACGAGTCAATTTCTCAACCTGCAGATTGCAGACCAAGCGTCCACATGAAACCGGCAATCCAAAAGCCATACGCCAGCACGTGGATTTGCAACAACATAGCAATATTCTGGCCAGAATATGAAAAATGCCTGGAAGTGCACGCGTAGACAGCTCACATGGCAAGAACCCTGAGTTGTTCCTGTTGCTGAGATGTGGAAGCTCAAGCGGGGTGTGTTTGGTAGATGCTTGGGCCGTATGGCTCATGTGGCTTTGGCTGGTTCTTTCACATTGACTTCATGTATCTTCATGTTAACGCTTGCCCCCACTGTATCCAACCTACTGAGTCAGCCTGAGCCAACCCTGTGCCAACATGTGGATCATAACTGCGTACAAAGGTGGTGAAAGGCGGCAGACCAAACTTGTGATTCTTCATGCCTTGTTTAGCATGAAGAGCTTCTCTTTCAAGCGTTGGGCCCGCGAACATGGTGACTAGTTGGTGACAAGTTTTCAGGAATTGTGCCTGTTTTCATGTGGAAGTGGTTGTGCTGTGCATGTAGAAGCAGGCTCAAACACGAGCATAGCTACAGTATTTTGCGTTTTGGTATTCATTTTGAGCAACTTTCGTAACTGAAGCGCCGATTTTTTTACAGATGATAGCCGGCCCTTCGCAAACACAACTCCACAAACCACCCGGGGGACAAAACCGTGCTAGTGCGGGCTCGCAAAAATCGAAGCTAAAGGAAACACCTGCCTGGCGCACCAGCAGCCAGAATCAAAAGGCATGTGCCAACCAAGCAACAGAGCAAGAATGCAAAGCACAACCTGCAAACGAGGGTCAACATTTGACAACGAGGCATATGCATGGACTTCTGCAGCCAGGCAACCGTCAGGCCCTCACGGTGGCGTCGCAGTGTGCAGTGTGGCGCTTGGGCACCGTGCTGATATTGCCTGGCGTGCTGGATCACTCATATGTACGGAAAGTACCAGCTTCAGATTACATGTAGACGCTGTTCGATTGGCTTCTTGTGGTATTTGGTTCCAGAAAGACCAACCACATGATACCCAGCATAAGTGCGAACAAATCTTAATATCGCATGCAATATCCCAAGCACTATGAAGATTGCACGCTGCAAATTTCCATAACATAAAAGGAATGGTGAGCCGGCCGTGAACTAAAATTGAATAAGATGCAGCAATTCCATTGCTCCCCGCATGCCTCCCTAGACATGTGCGCAGGGTGTGCTGTTCGGCTGGTGGCCAAGGCACATGCGACACCGTGCAATGTAACATGAAGGAACCGTTCATGTTGTCACGGCTTGGAGGGCTGTTGGCCCTCTGCAGATCTAGAAAATGCATTGTCGACTTTTGCGCCGCCCGGTTGGTGTATTCACCTGGAGGGTCTGATTGAGACAGGTGATGTCAGCTCTATCATTGAAGGTCGCCCTGTGTACGCCTCCTTTGTGCCCCTTCCGAATGAAAGAGCCGCCACTGCAGATGAAGACCAGGACGAGAGTGATGCGACCTCTGATATCAGCATGAGTATCGCTGATGCTGCCCCAGTCACAGTTGAACTCTCTCCAAGAACCAGTGCTGAACTAACCACTGCGACAGATAACCCCCCCCAGGATCGCAGCCGCTCCCCCAGGGGACGCGTCAGGGACGGGGGTACCTTCTCAGCTGGTTTCATTGTTCTCGCTCAGGAATACGCTCCAGAACTTGTGCGCTTGGGGCTTGAAGCTGGACTTGAGGTCGCGGAAGTTCTGAAGCGAGTACAAGATGGTCGGGTTCCCCAGGCCAGAGCCCGCTTCCCGCTATTCCCGCTCCTTGTTGCCGCAGAGCCGCAGACCCTAGGGCATCTAGGAGTGTTGTTGGCGTACCCGGAGTGGACCAACGATGTCAGTATTGTCTTTGATTGCACCCTTGTTCATGGAGGCGTTTTCAGCTGGATAGTATCGACAGTCCTTGACAGAGAGTCTATCCTTGCCATTGCCGGGGTGTCTCCGCCAGAGTTGTATGAAGTTTACGTCCACAATTCTGACACGCCTCTCCTTCCCAGACAAGAGTGCTTCTTACGACAGGGCAGCTGTGTTACGATTGCCCCGGGAGCAAGCCATGCCTACGTCTCGTCTTCCCTTCCCAGCATGCTTGAGTCACCAGATGGTTGGGAAGTCGTTGACACCTTACCCACAGCTCCGGGGGAATGGGCATATGTCATTGCTGATGCTGGCCCTTTTAGTCTTAGCCATCAAGCTGGGCGACGCCGATTCCTGCAGACAGCTGTTGCACCTGAGTTGCAACTCCTGCCTGACTCGTTTGCCATACAACTCGCATGTCCCGACATCCTCGACTACTATGATGCCGGGCGCCGCATCCACACTGTCCTTGCGACAACGCAGATGCATCTTGTCGATGCTGATAGAAGCGAAACAGGCTGTATCTACTTCCTTGATTTCCGACCCATCTACTGTGGCCTAACATGGGCCTTTTCAGCTGATCGTGTCGTCTCCAAGGATCTTATTCGAGAGCGTTCTGCACGGGCTCTACCGGCGGGTTTCCACCCGATCGTCCGTGGCGGCAGAACTCTGAGCGACCCGGCTGGGTCTATAGAAGTCCATCCCGGCGAGGTTCTTGTTGTTGAGGTTGTGCAGCACGCTGGGCTCCCGGCCTCGGACGAAAATGATGACCCCGATGTGGGTGATAAGCCGGTTAGCAGTGAGGGGTCTGCTTTAGATCATGATGATGCACTGTCTTGCCAGCCATCAGCGGATGCACACCAGCCGTCTGCTGCCGCTGCTGAGCCCAACAGTGCCTCCCCATCACACGAGCCTGCAGGCCAGCGCTCCAGTATCTCTACCACAGCGCACCCACGTCAGCGGATGGGGCATCTCCTGTCTGCCTGCACCGATCGAGGCATCATGTGTCTCACAGTCTCTACGCAACACGCTCTTCCTGAGAGCAAACTGTGGAGCACCTCTGTATTCTCAGTCGGGAGGCAGTTTCAGAATAGATGCAAAAAGAGCGCCGCCTCCCCTCCTCCAGCGCCTCTGCGTCGGAGATGCAAATTGTTACAAGAGCCTGCTTCTGCTTCGTTTGCAGCAGAACGTAGCCTTGCTGCTGCACGCACTGCCACACGTGTCCTCGGCCAACGCTGGCCGTTTGACCCAGCATGGATGCCAGTGCTCCCCATCCAAGAAGAGGATGATCCAGAAGATCTAGATGAGGCCCTACCAGGAGATACTGTTGTAGATGCGATCTTCTGCATCTTCACACCTGGATATATTCCGGAGGTCTTGCCCCTTCATCTGATGATACCCCAGCATGTCCCAGATGTGATTGACTTGCTGAGCACCTGCCGCAACAGTGAACAAGCTCATGCTTTTCCCACTTTGGTTGCGATTTGGCCGCAGCCTCAACCATCATGGGGAGCATTCGTTGCGAAGCCAACCTGGCTGCACCACCGTGCTGTAGTCTGCTTCGATATGGCAAGATGGGACGGTCGCATTTTCGCAATCGACACGCCTGCTATAGTTGACAAGTTCCATCTGTTGCAATGTGCCGGTTTGCATTTGAACGCAGAGGTCGACATCTTCCTCCCGGATGCGATCGATCCAGTCCCAGCAGGCGGTGATTTTCAGCTCCGCACGGGCATGTGTCGTGTCTTTCTACCGCCTGGCAGAATGCCCCCTCCAACTTTCGAGATGTGGGAGCTCTTGCAGACTCCCCAGCATTGGCAGCTTCGGCCGCAGCTACCCTTTGTCCAACCAGATGAATACTACCTTGTTGTGACAGAACAGGGAAATCACGCTTTCCGCCTCCTTCCTGAGCGGTCTGTTTATCTGCGGACAGACCTTGCTGTGCGCTTTGGTTTTGCCATGCTCAACATGTGCATCCAGCCGGCCCAACCTCGCAGACAGGATGCAAGCATTTGTGGTCATGGTTGCCGCAATGTCGTTGTGCTTTCGCCACAATCCCTCCAGGCAAACACGGAGGCCGAGATAATGTGTCTCATTGATGGCAGAGCACTGCTAATTGGATGGCTGCCACTGCGCACTGAAGGCGGGCACGTCAGCATCACCTTCATCCGGATGTCGCTACAGCACTGTGTGCCTGAGGGCTGGGAAGCTGAGTTTCGAGATGTGCCACGTCACTGGACCTGGTGGCTTGAGCCTGGCCAGACACTGGTTGTGACCCTGACCCGCAGAGAAAACACACCCCCTGACATCCATAGGGATGGTAGGCCTCACAACCCTCAGCAAGAACCCAGGGGCCCGGACGGTTCACCTCCCCAATCTAGGCCATCTGCCATGCCTGCGCCTAGTTCGGGCAACGGAGATAGCCCACGTCATAGGGCACGCAGTGATGCAGGGCGGGATCATGCGTCAGCGAATGATGGCCGCGTTGTATGTATTGACGGCTGCAGGAAATCTCTGTGTGCTTTCCTTGTTGCGATTAGCATCTTGAATGCACTCTGCGGATCCACTTGCGGCGGATGGGCAGAGGAGGAGACACACTTCTCCAGGCCATTCCATGGCGCAGCTGCCCTATTTCTTGCTATAGGAGTGAGCCAGCGGCGCACGAGCCTTCTGGTTTTGTTGCTTGTTTTCGCGCTTGGCACTCACAGTGGTGCCGTGGCTGTTCATGTCGCTGTTCCAGATGCGACAAATGACCTCGGTCAGGAGTGCCTACCCTGCAATCTGCCTTACCGTAGCCGACCGCTGCCCACCCCTTGCCGGGCTATGCTTACCCTTTCTGGCTCATCGGCTCCTGAGCCTAACAGACCACGTATCGACATTGAAGCAGCGGCTCATAGTACCGCGAGGGTTGCGCATGGAGGTCCTATGCCAGCTGAGGAAGATGGTGTCTCCATCACAGATGTCGGCCCCACATTGCTAGAGATCTCCATTCGGGAGGACGATACTGTCCTCTGGGAGACCAGCACCTTGCTTGAGACGCTCCTAGAGCATTTTCAGGAGACATGCACTGTGCGGCCAGCCGCAGCCACCGCCCCAAGCCCTGCCCTGGACAGCTGTCCAAGGACAATTTGTCTTGCTACTGCTGTTGCGCCTCCATGCTATGATCTCACTGAGCAATCTGTTCAACTGCCGCACAAGGACTGCCTTGTAGTCTCTGTCCTGACATGCTGGCCTTGCACATGGTATGTTGAGTCACATGCGGCCCTGTCTATGCCGGCAGTGACTTCCCAGTACGTTCAGGATTGGCCAGCATGGACGCAACTGAGCTGCGCGCGTAACAATGCATCCCCCACTAGACTTCAGCTCTTTACCGACGGGTCCTGGTCACCAGACCGGAGTGTTGGCGGATTTGCTGTAGTAATTGTGGCTTGTGTTGGTGAGCAATCGTGCATTTTCGGTGCGGTCAGTGGGCAGACGCATGGCGCCGCTGATAATCCATGGCCCCTTGCTGATGCCCCACCTGCACTTCGCAATGAGGAAATCGCCGTCGCGGTTGCCCTTCTGTGGCTTTTGCAAGGGGTTACGCTTTTTTCGTTTGATGAGGTGGAGGTTTGGTTCGATTGTTTTGCAGCCGGCAAGACGGCGAGCGGTGAATGGACAGCCTCCACTCCTTTCGGCAAGCAGCTTCGCGACCTGCAGCTATGGGCTGAGTCCCTGCTGCTAGGCAAGATGCGCTATTGTCATGTCAAAGCGCACCAGGGTCACCCACTTAACGAAATGGCCGACCATATTGCAAAGCTAGCTGCCGATGGTGCCCGGCCAACAGTATCCCCACCTATCTGTGCCATTGAGTCATTCCTCAAACTCGATGCGTCCTGGATTTCAGCTGCCCTCCGCAATAATGGAAGTTCTGCCCTCCCTTTTTCAGCAACAGGCAACTCCATGTGTTGGGCGAGCAACATCGCTTTCAAGCCATGCAAGTTGGAGCCGATTGACATTGTCCCGATTAATGAAACAATGATTGGTGATGCGACCGATCATGTTGTTGATCTCGCAGTCCGTGCTGCCACTGTTAACATTCAGGGTTTGCAGGACAAGGCGCCTTACCTCGAGGCTCAATTTGCTGAGCAGGGATTGCAGATCATTTTCCTGCAAGAGACAAAGGCCCCAAGTGGGGTGTGCCAATCGAAGCTATACATGAGGTTATCTACCGAGCCCAAGCGACACTTCGGTGTGTCCATCTGGATAAGTAAGTCCTTCGGCATTGCCACGCACAATGGTAAGCCTCTTCCGGTCAGTGAGCACGATCTGAGAATCCACTTCGAGACGGAACGCTTGCTTGTCGTGGTTGCTACCGTTGCTGATCTTCAGATCACACTGTTCTCAGGCCATTGCCCGCACAGCGGCCAGAGAGCAGAAGCTGCCAAATTTGTCTCTTGCCTTAAAAATGTTTTGTGTCCGCTCAGGCGCTCCTCCGCACTTATAGGAGGTATTGACCTGAACGGCCGCCCCCCGCGTGATGTTACAGGCGTCACCGGCGGCCTCGAGTGCGGGGAAGCCGACGCTACTGGAATTGAATTTGCCCAGGTCCTGCAGGATCTTCACGCCTGGCTCCCTTCAACATACCAACGCCTGCATACTGGCCCGTCGGAGGTTTGCAGTGAGGTCCTTAGGCAGGTTGACCTGGGCGCGGCCAGGGATGATCATTTCCTAACGTCTTGTGCACTCCGGGGAGTCTTGGACCACCATGGTCACCTCCGCAGACTCTGGCGACCGCGCTTTGATGTTGATAAAATGCTCTCACCCGAGGGGCGGGATATCATTGCCAGAGAGGCGAGTCAGTTCCAGTCTCCGAATTGGGATGTCCATCCGGACGAACACTGCAGGCTGCTCACGAAGCACCTCCAGCAGATTATGCAGCGCCACTTCCAATTCGCGACTCACCGCCCCCGAGCGTCTTTTATTCCAGCAGCTGTATGGGCTTGCCGCGATGCAAAGCTCAACCTCAAGTATCGCAGTCGTCACCGTGCCAAGCTCTGGTCCGACCTTGTTGTCAGGGCTTTCTGGCAATGGAAAACGGCGGAGGATCACTCGGTCTGTGAAGTAGTTGCACATGAGGGCCTCTTCTATCAGCTAAACGCGGCAGCTGTGCGTTTTGCGTCTTACCGCATTCGAGGTGACATACGAAGCGCAAAAACGGCATTCCTGCAGAACCTTGTGTTGAAGGGTGGCGACACAGCTACTGACATCCTCAGCACTGCGAAGAAAGCTGGAATAGGAGGTGCGAAGCGCCGCAAGCCCTTCAAGCCTATGCCGCATCTGCTTGACAGTAGGGGCAACCTGGTTGGCACACGTGCCGATAGAGACCAGGTATGGCTTGAGCACTTTGGTCAACAGGAATACGGCCGAGTGGTACCGGTCGAGCAATTCCTCCGCCTGAGCCCTGAACCGCTGGTAATCGATTCTGAGCTTGAATGGCACAGCCAGCATTTGCCGTCGCTTCGTGACGTCGAAGAAGTCCTTAGGGGCTTGCCAAGGCACAAGGCGGCCGGCCTTGATGCCGTGCCCGCGGAGCTTTTGCGTGCGTCCCCAGGACCGATGTCTGAAATTCTGCTTCCTTTGTTCACCAAAAGCCTGCTTGGTTTAAGACAGCCTCTACAATGGTGAGGCGGCCTTTTGTTTGAAGCTTGGAAGCAGAGTGGCACCCAGCGAGAGGCAGCATCGTATCGTTCATTGTACGTCGCTTCTGTCGTGGGCAAAGCATACCATAAACTGCAGCGACGTACCATACAGCCTGAGGTTGAAGCCACGCTCCACGAATTCCATATGGGAGCACGCAAGGGCACACCGGTCGTCATGCCGGCATTGTATGTGTTAGCGAGCCAACGTGCTGGTGAGGTGTTCGGCCACTCCTCTGCAGTGCTGTTTCTTGACACGCATGCTGCATACTATCGCATAGTCCGCGACCTCGCCCTTGGTTGTATTTACGACGATGCAGTCGTGGTCAGGCTGTTTGAGCACTTCTCCCTTGACGCAACTGAGTTGCAAGAGATGATGCAAGTTGTGTGCCAGGGCGGGACATTCGCTGACAATCGTGTCCCGGATACCATTCGGCATGCGGCCAAAGACACGCATCACTTTACCTGGTTTGTCACGCCGCATACCAGTGGACGTTTCTTGTGCAAGACGGAAGCTGGCAGTCGCCCCGGTGAGTCATGGGCGGACACCATTTTCAGCTTTGTTTACTCTCGTGTTCTGGCGCGAATAGCTGAAATTGCTAGGGCTGAGAATCTTCTCCCCGAGTTCCTGTTTGACGTTGAAACCGGACCCTTTGCCGCTCCGGGCGAGGGCGAGAGTATCACGGGTCAGGACGCCACCTGGGCGGACGATAGTGCGTGGCCACTGCTGGCCCCAGTGCCAGAGCAGTTGCTAGCCAAGGCCACGCGCCTTGCTTCTCTTGTGCTTGAGCAATGTGCTGCGCACGGAATGAAGCCGAACCTCGGACGAAACAAGACGGCTTTGATGTATGTCCTCCGGGGCAAAGGTGTAGTTCGGGCCACCCGTCAGTATTTCAGTCATGGCAATGCCACACTACGGCTGCCCGAGCTTGACCGTGACTTGCCGGTTACCAACCAATACAAGCATCTAGGCGGTCTCATTGATCACCGCCTCAAGCTTAGTGCGGAGGCGCGACGCCGCCTAGCGATGGCCAGTCAGGCATTCGATCAGGGAAAGGAGCTTTTGTACCTTAACCCTGCAATTCCGCTTAGCACGAGGGCAGCGCTAATGCAGATAGCAGTCACTTCCACGTACCACAACCTTCCTATTTGGAATCCTGCTGGCCCCAGTTGGGCGATGCTTGATGGGGGATACACTCGCCTTGTCAGGCGCTTGTTAAGTAAGGCCCTTCCAGGTGACCTCCTTTTCAGGTTACCAGCTGCTCTCGCGCACGTAGTCACGGGCTGCATGCCATTGCCCCTGCTCGCAAAGAAAGCCCGGCTCAGTTTGCTCTGCTCCATGTGTACGGCTGGTCCCAAGGCGCTCTGGGCTGCCTTGCAATCCGAGCAGACATGGTTTGCCACCATTCGAGCTGACCTTAAGTGGCTGGCAGACACAGTCCGGCAGGAATGGCCGCTACTTGTAGGTGCTGCGTGGCCGCAATGGCGTGAGCTCATGGCAAACCGCACGGCCTGGTTCAAGCGCCAAGTGCGGACTGGTCTTCAGCAAGAGATGGAGTACTTCGTCAAACGACAGGCTGTGTATGCGGCGCTCTGGGCGCTGCAAAAGCATGCGGGTGCTCTCCATGCTCCCCCTGATTTCTCGGAAGTGCCTTCCTGGAAGTGTGCCCCATGCGCTCGCACCTTCAAAACCAAAGCGGCTTTAGGTGTGCATTTCTTTAAATCGCACGGCCGCCTTGCCCGCTATAGGACGGTCGTGGATGGGACCCTATGCCAGGCGTGCGGCCGACAATTCTGGAGCACCAACCGATTGTCTAGGCACCTGCGAGACGCCCCTACTTGTGTTGCCACTCTTAGGGCACACCGTCTATTTCCCGAAAGCTTGCAGCCGGGGGTTGGGAGCGTAAAGTGGCGGAAAAGCGCGGTTGAGCATTTCCACCCGTCTATGCCACAGCAGCTTGCTGTTGGACTACCTCCCCAGGTTGGGAACGATTGGGATGAGGTGCAGAAGGCAGCACACCTTGATTTGTGCGAGACCCTTCTGGATCCGTCGCTGCCAAGTGATCCTGATCTCATCATCCTTCGGCTCCGCACTGCTCTTGGCCGCCACCCCCTCTTTGAGGATGAAGCCAAAGACCTACTAGAGTTCGTCATGCACGAAACCAGAGAGGTTCGAGGTCAACTCATTGATGAAGAGTGGACGCATGACACCGTTGAGGCGGTTGAGGCTGCTTTTTCGAAGCTATTGACCAATGTCTGGGGGTCGGCTGTTGACCGGACAGCTGAGCCGTCTGCTCCCACATCTTTCAAAGACCTCGAACAAGAGCTCTCCAATATCGACTGGGCTGCCCTGCGCCCTTCAGGTCCACCCCTTCACGTGACCCCTTCCGATAGTCCATATGTGCTTGCTGATACCTGGGAAGCTGATTTGGTAGCAAGTTGCCGGGCTATCGATGCATCAGCCGTGAAAGGACGGTTGTGGACCATTGTACCACGAGCTCTGCGAGAAACGTGGCGTGATATCCAACAAGGATCATCGCCACATCTCCAGGCGCCGAGGAGTTTCTGGCAAAGCCAACTCGCCGCGCTCTTTGCTCATCTATCCGGTCGTCACCTTGCAACCTAATTAAGCTGCGAACAACCTCTGAAAGCGTGCAAAGCAAAATGTACATACTCACATATATTTACCTACAACACGTGAAATGAGAATGCCATGCAACATGTTCATCTCCTTCCAAAAATTGGAGATTAGGAGGGCCCATTTTTGGTAAACTTTTTCGTTTTGAACTTTTTGGTGGGTCTGGCACAGAGCGTCTTCACATTTCGCATGGAAATCGAGCTCTGGCGCGGGGTGTTCTCGCATTTTCTTTCGAAATCGATCGCTCGCATGGAATGTCTTCGCGTGATGACCTGACACTTGAAATCGAGCTGGTGTGTGGGGCGTCTTCACATTTTGCCTCGCACTCGAGCTCTCGCGTAAATCGTCCCCCTCGCATTATGCTGCTGGGTTCTGGGGCTTCTTGCTTTTTGGCCTTCTTGCCTTTTTTCCTCAGTGAAGTGAACAAAAAATTGGTGTTCTGTAGCACCGTGTGCTTGCACACCGTGAGGCAACAGCGTGGTTTGATATCAGAAGTGAGTGTTTGAACATGCTGTTGGGCTGCGTGCCGAGACACATGATGCACCAAGAACAACGGCCATTTCAAGTGACGTGACAAGACTTGAGTGGGGCAGCGCGCAGGGAGAGTGGTGAACATGGTCACAGGCAAAGTTAGCTGGCAGATGTTTGGCATATCTTGACATGCTGGGGGGATGATACATGGGACGCAAATATGCCAATGTGAAGGTCATGAGGCAAGGTCGTTGGTATGTCTACGGCCGCTATCGGGCTGGTGGCCATTGGGCCAGGGCAGAAGAACTTGTGTGATCGCTTGAGCATTCTGTTGCGGGAATTGAGCGCGCAGTGACCTTCCATGGCTGCAAGTGCACCAATGTGTCCGCGGGGCAATTGGTGGGCTGCTGGGGGCAATTTTTGTCGTGTTGGATGGCCACGTGGCCAGGGCGCAGGACGTGCTCGAAAAAGCTGCCTGGCTGTGAGGTGTAATATAGCGTCAGAAGCAAGCTGTTTGAACATGCTGTTGGGCTGTATGCCCAAACAAATAATGCACCAACAACAATTGCCAATACAAGTGACTTCACAAGACTTGAGCGGGGCGGCACCCAGGGAGCGTGGTGAACATGGTGGACGCGTGTCTAGCAGGTCTAGCATGCAAAATTAGGCAGTGACATTTTGGGAACCAACAATACAATCCAACCGTTCTTTTAACGCAACTTGTTTAGTGTGTTGATTGGCAGAGGCCGCATTGGTACATCCTGACACGCTGGGGGATGTCATTTTTAATCCCTTTTCCTCGTGTTTGCCTGGTGCTGTGTCTGTTGAAGCAATGATGGCCGTGACGTTCCCCGCAAAAACACCAATGTGAAGGTCAAAGAAACAAGGTCAAGGTGCTATGGTGCTGGATGGCAATTGAGCCCGGGCACGGGCAACATGTGCTATTGTTTGAGCAGTCTGCTGGGCCAGGGTCGTTGCGGGCAACATGTGTGATTGTTTGAGCATTCTGATGGGCCAGGGTTGTTGCGAGGGTGCTGGATGGCCGTTGGGCAAGGGCACGGGCAACATGCGCGATTGTTTGAGCAATCTGCTGGACCAGGGTCGTTGCGAGGGTGCTGGATGACCGTTGGGCCAGAGCACGGTCAACATGCCTGATTGTTTGAGCAATCTGCTGGGCCAGGGTCGTTGCGAGGGTGCTGGATGGCCGTTGGGCCAGAGCACGGGCAATATGCGTGATTGTTTGAGCACTCTGCTGGGCAAGGGTCGTTGCGAGGGTGCTGGATGGCCGTTGGGCCAGGGCACGGGCAACATGCGTGATTGTTTGAGCATTCTGCTGGGCCAGGGTCGTTGCGAGGGTGCTGGATGGCCGTTGGGCCAGGGCACGGGCAACATGTGTGATTGTTTGAGCATTCTGCTGGGCAAGGGTCGTTGCGAGGGTGCTGGATGGCCGTTGGGCCAGGGCACGGGCAACATGTGTGATTGTTTGAGCATTCTGCTGGTCCAGGATCGTTGCGAGGGTGCTGGATGGCTGTTGGGCCAGGGCACGGGCAACATGTGTGATTGTTTGAGCATTCTGCTGGGCCAGGGTCGTTGCGAGGGTGCTGGATGGCCGTTGGGCCAGGGCACGGGCAACATGTGTGATTGTGTGAGCAATCTGCTGGGCCAGGGTCGTTGCGAGGGTGCTGGATGGCCGTTGGGCCAGAGCACGGGCAATATGCGTGATTGTTTGAGCACTCTGCTGGGCAAGGGTCGTTGCGAGGGTGCTGGATGGCCGTTGGGCCAGGCAACATGTGTGATTGTTTCATCATTCTGCTGGACCAGGGTCGTTGCGAGGGTGCTGGATGGCCGTTGGGCCAGGGCACGGGCAACATGCGTGATTGTTTGAGCATTCTGCTGAGCCAGGGTCGTTGCGAGGGTGCTGGATGGCCGTTGGGCCAGGGCACGGGCAACATGTGTGATTGTGTGAGCATTCTGCTGGTCATTATCGTTGCGAGGTGCTGGATGGCTGTTGGCCAGGCACGGGCAACATGTTGACTTGTTTGAGCATTCTCTGGGCCAGGGTCGTTTCGAGGGTCTGGATGCCGTTGGGCAGTGCACGGGAACATGTGTGATTGTGTGAGCAATCTGCTGGGCCATGGTGCTTTGCGAGGGTGCTGGTGGCCGTTGGGCCACACAAGCAACGGGCCATAGCGTGATTGTTTTTCTCACTCTGCTGGGCAAGGTCGTTGTGGGCGAGGGTCTGGAATGGCCGTTGGGCAGGCAACATGTGGGATTGTTTCGTTCTCATCTGCGGATCCAAGGCGTTGCGTGGTGATGGTGCTGGATGGCCGTTGGCCATGGCACGGTCAACACTTGCATTGTTGATCATTCTGCTGAGACCAGGGTCGTGCGAGGGGTGCGGGATGGGCCGTTGGGCCAGGGCACGGGAACATGTGTAATGGTGTGAGCATTCTGCTGGCCATGGGGTCTTTGCGAGGTTCTGGATTGCTTGTTGGCCCAGGGCCTAAACTGCCCAACCTTTGTGACTTGTTTGAGCATTCTGCTGCACCAGGGTCGTGCGAGGGGCTGGATGGCCGTTGGGCCCGGGCCAGGCAACATTTGATTGTGTGAGCATCTGCGGGCCAGGGTCGTTGCGAGGGTGCTGGATTACCGTTGCCAGAGCACGGCAATATTCGTGATTGTTTTTGGCACTCTGCTGGGCAATGGTCGTTTGCTAGGGTGCTTGGATGGCCGTTGGTCCGGGCACGGGCAACATTGTGATTGTTTGAGCTCTGCGTCCAGGGTCTTTGCGAGGGTGCCTTGGAGCCGTGGCCCGTCCAAGCAACATGTGTGGATTGTTTGGCATTCTGCTGGGCAAGGGTCGTTGCGAGGGTGCTGGATGGCCGTTGGGCCAGGGCACGGGCAACATGTGTGATTGTTTGAGCATTCTGCTGGGCCAGGGTCGTTGCGAGGGTGCTGGATGGCCGTTGGGCCAGGGCACAAGCAACATGTGTGATTGTTTGAGCATTCTGCTGGGCAAGGGTCGTTGCGAGGGTGCTGGATGGCCGTTGGGCCAGGGCACGGGCAACATGTGTGATTGTGTGAGCAATCTGCTGGGCCAGGGTCGTTGCGAGGGTGCTGGATGGCCGTTGGGCCAGAGCACGGGCAATATGCGTGATTGTTTGAGCACTCGGCTGGGCAAGGGTCGTTGCGAGGGTGCTGGATGGCCGTTGGGCCAGGGCACGGGCAACATGTGTGATTGTTTCATCATTCTGCTGGACCAGGGTCGTTGCGAGGGTGCTGGATGGCCGTTGGGCCAGGGCACGGGCAACATGTGTGATTGTGTGAGCAATCTGCTGGGCCAGGGTCGTTGCGAGGGTGCTGGATGGCCGTTGGGCCAGGGCACGGGCAACATGTGTGATTGTTTCATCATTCTGCTGGACCAGGGTCGTTGCCAGGGTGCTGGATGGTCGTTGGGCCAGGGCAAGCGCACTGCGGCGCACGAGAGGTCTGTGGTTGCCGTGGGGCTCTGTGAAAACCATCGAATATCAACATCAGCCACTGGTCGTAGCAGCGTGCAAGAATGGAACGTGTCCTACATGCTCGCCAACATACCTCCACCCCGAAAATGGCAGGGGAACATCGGAAATGGGGAACCCCGCACTGGATCCATCTAGTAAATAATGGTCGGCGCTTTGTGAGTGAGGAAGTGAGCGCGCCATGACCTTCCACGGCTGCAAGTGCACCAATGTGTCGGCAGGGCTGAGCTGAAGATCAACCCCAACGATCTCTCAACCAAGATTATTGCCCGTGCTTTGAAAAAGCTTGGGTGGGGCCGTGCAAGGCTTTCATTTGGCCATCGGCGCTGGGAAGTCCCAGCATGGTGAAAGGCACATCGCAGAAAAACGATATCACGAGCTATACATAGCACTGTCCCGCATAGCAGCCTAGTGGCTTGAACTGCCCCATCAAGAGGGATGGGTGCTGTTCTGTTTTGTACGTGAATGTGAGGGAGCGATGCCTGTTGTTGAGGGGTGACTTTCCAAATTTTTCGCTGCTTCTTGTACTGCCATGAGCGCGGTTCTGGGGGCGGCCGTCACGGTTTGGGCAACTGCGCAGTTGGCGCTTCGCACAGCACCGCGCGCGGCCATGTGAAAAACGGAACGTCAATTAACTGTTCAGTATAGCAATACTGGCACGCTCAAAAGGCCCCAAGCCAACACGCTTGCAAGCCTGTGCAGTATAGGGTGCAGTACGGCAAGCCTCCCGGATTTATGTCCTTCCTGGATGCAGGAGCCCTGGCCCTTGTTTTGGCAGGCAGGTGCCTGCTTTTTCAGCATGCAGTTCAGCTGTGCTGAGATGCGGGTATCGGAATTCGCCAGCGGTTTGAGCGGAAGAGATGGTTACGACGCTATGAAGTTGTGTGCTTGCTGCATGGGATGTTCCCCACACTGCAAGGCTGTGCGTTGACGCGCTGCAAGGGGGAATATGAATACGAAGCCTCGAACCCCTTGAGGAGGTTGTTGTCATTGCAATTT